ATACGAAGTACACTTTGAGGCAAAGTCTTGAGTCATGTTCGTGAGGCCCGCGAGTACTTTGTATTGTTTTTATCAGGGACGACGGGGATGCCAGCATATTGCCTTCTGTGCGCAGGGCTACCATCCCTAACAAAAAACAATACAACATGTACCTCGCGGCTAAATCTGGATCATGCGCAGCGAACCCGCGATCACTGTGAAGTGGTTTTTGGCAGGGACGGCGGGGGTGGTGGCGTATGGCCTGCTGTGCGCAGGCCCACCAGACACAATGATGGGCATTCTGGTTTTCGACAAGGATGGTGGGGGCCGACATGTTTCCCGATGTGTGCTGTCGCGTGCGCAGGCGCGCCTGGCACACTCTGCACGTGCCCCGAACGTGGCGCACCTGGTGCGGCTGGAGTATGCGGCACACCTGGCGCGCGCGGAGCACGTGGCGCATCTGGCGCACCAGGCGTGCCTGGCGCGCTCGGACCCCAGGGGTGCCTGGCGCGCGTGGCGCGCCTGGCACGCGTCGCGCTCTTCGCCCCAACGTCGCGCACATCCAAAGACGTCCGCTGAACATGCTCAAGCTCGGGTGTTACGTATGTGTTGGGAGGGCGGGTGGGAGTGAGCTAGGCGGCTTGCTATCTAGGGGGTGTCTTGACCCCTCCCCCTAACCCCTCCCCTGGGCCTGGATATGGCCCAAGACGGCCCCACGAGGGCCTCTGAGAGCGCAAGATGGCCTTCAATATGGCTCAAATTGAGAAGCCTCAAGGCGACCCCAAGACGGTCTCAAGTGCCCTCCGAGCCCTCCAAGGACACCGCAAAAAGGCCAAAATGAAACCAACATCATTGGAACATCAATGTGTTTTGTCTTCTCGCCGTTTCGCTTCCGATGGGCTCTGCAGGACTCAAGATGGCTCCACGACAGCCCAAAATAGCACCACGAGAGGCTTCAGAAAGCCCCGAGACAGTCCCAAAAGCGCCCTAAGACGTCATTTTTGAGCCTCCCAGGGGGGAACCTGAATTCCCACCCCCCTCTTTTAGAGTCATGGGGGTTAAGATGGCCTTAATTAAGAGGCCGCCCAGACCCCCTCACCGAGCCCCAAGAGGGCCCCGAGAGGGCCCCAAGAAAGCCCCAAGAGAGCCCCAAGAGGGCCTCAATACTGCCCCAAGAGGCTCCGCGAGGACCCCAAGAGAGCCCCAAGATGGCTCCAAGAGACCTCCGAGAAAACGCTTCCAAGGCGGGTGTTGCACTGCACTCTTCTACACTTCCCTGATCAAAGCAACTCGCCTGGCGATCTTCTTCTGGATGGGCTGGTCGGGATTCGCGAAGCGTCAAGGATTGTACGCAATCTTGCCCCTGGGCGAGTTGCATTATGTCCCGGCAGTAACCCTGCAATCCATCCCCGGTCAACCCTACCGAAACCCATTCTCCCACATCAAGCCTCGGTGGAGAGGGTGTACATCTTCGGGCACAATATGG